AACTCTCGTACTAGCTCTTCCTGAGCCAAACTGGATCCCCTTAGTGAGGCCAAGAACTCAAAGTGTTTTGAGTGTTAGGGGTGGTGGAGGGGCTACAGAGCTCCACCCTGGGAGTCTCAAGCCGAACCTCCCGGGCTCTGACGGGTTGTCCTGGGTGGCCTGACCTCAGGGCAGCTCCTCAATCACTGGAGGTTTCAGGAGCGGTTCAAAGGGGCAGCTGCTTCCTGTGGAGATGCTCAGCAACAGCCCTGTCTTGGGGGCGCCCTTCTTGAACGACCCGGGCATGGAGGCCCACGGCCCGCCCAGGGCTCCGGAGTCGGAGCTTCTCCCCGACCGGCCGGGTCTTTCACAGAGGGGCTGTGGGGCCCTGCGAGGCCGATGCAGGGATTTTCGGCAGCTGCATCCCCCAGGTGGTTTCCCGATGTGTTTAGTTTCCTATTGCTGCCATAACAAATTGTCATAAACTTAGGCGCTTAAGACAACATAAAATTATTATTGTATAGTTCTGTAGGTCAGAAGTCCAAAGTAAGTCTCACGGGCTACACGCAAGATGTCAGCAGGGCTGCGTTCCTCCCCGGGCCTCTAGTGGAGAATCCCTTTCCTTGCCCTTCGCAGCGTTCAGAGGCCGCCTGCGTTCCGCGACCTGTGGTTTCTGCCTCCGGCTTCAAAGCCAGCGACGGCTGGCCGAGGCCTTCACGTAACGCCATCTCTGGCTCTGACTCTTCTGCCCCCCTCTTCCCCATTAAGGACGCTTGTGATGACATTGGGCCCACTCGGATCATCCAGGACAATCTATTTTAAAGTGAGCTGATCAGCAACCTCAATTCCACCTGCAGCTTTCACGCCCCTTTGCTGTGTGACAACACATTCCATGCACTAGGACGTAGGCATCTTTTCTCCACTGTGGACCATCATTCCGCCTACCACGTCCAGCCTCTCTTCTGGGTTTTCAGGGCCCCGTCCTCAGACACAGACAGTGGGCCAGGCCAAACCACAGTCAGGATGTTCCCGCCAGTCAGCGAGGCCCTTTCTGCCCAGGTTCTCTCCCACCTGCCTGCTCCTCATTCAGCTCACCCCGTCCTGGACTCCTCTCCTCCCGTCCTCGGCTCCCAGTCTTGGGTAGGAAGGAGCTGGGCAGCAAGTGCCCGGGGTGTGGTGATGGAGGAGGGGAAGGCTGGGGGCACCAGCGCTGTGGGAGCCCAGGGAACAGAGTCCTTCCCATTCAGACTCCTGCACTTCGCAGGGGCTGGGGCCTGACCCTGGCCTTGAGGACACAGACACTCAGGTCTGAGGGCAGCTCCAGGGCTGGAGGGGTGGCCGGCCAAGCATTGGAGCCCTTTCACTGTGCATCCCTGGCTGCCTGTAACAGCCGGAATTCACCTGGCCCCTTTCTCAGGTGATGACAGACTGCCTGCCTTCGCTCATTCCCTTTCTCCTGGCCTTTCCTGGGCTTCAGGCTCTGGCAGCTGCCCAGCCAGGCCTCTGTCCCTGGGCTGCTTAGTGAGGGCCTGGGGGATCCAGGACCCCAGAGGAGGGCCTGTGGGCACTGCAGGGCAGGAGGGGCTGGACAACGCCTTTGGCCATCAAGTAGGGTGGCCAGCTGGGCCTGGTTTGCCTGGGACTTTCCTAGTTTTAGCACTGAAAGTTCCAAATCCCAGGAAACTCTTCAGTCCTGGGCAAAGCAGTACAGTTTGTCACTCTGTCTCCAAGGCCTTTTGTCCTTGCCGATCTCCTCCCAGTCACCTCTGCAGCCTGCAGTGCCAGCCCCTTGGACTCCTGGGTGCTGGGGAGACCCCGGTGCTAAGGAAGGGCCCCAAGCCAGTGCCAGGAAAGTGTAGACTCCTGCTTGCAGCATCCTCAGCAGAGGCACCACCTGTGGACTCCGTGCCTGTGTCTGCATGGGACAGAGCTCCTAGAACAAGCACCTGAGTCTCTAAGAATTTAACAGCCTGGTTGCTTCTGGGTGGTGTATTGCAGGTGGCTTTAATAAATGTTTTTATTTGCTTATCTATATTTTTACTCTTTGTACAGTTAAACCGAGTTCCTTTTCTTGTATGTATTTTTAATAAAGGAAAGTCGTTAATGACTCAGCCTTGCATCTTCAGTCCTACGGAGGGGCAGGCTGTGCTGCATGCCATGCACACACTGGCCCTCGCTCCGGGGCCTTTGACCTTGGCTGCTGGTTGGCCATGGCCTGTTCCACCCAGGGCTTGACTGAAGGGGCGGCGCTAGTTACTCCTCTGTGCCTTCCCTGCCCCTCAGCCTGCTCCCCTGCACCCCAGAGTCCAGCCTGGCTAGTCCTCCTGGGAAGGACTCAGGAGCCAGGTGTGCTCTTGGTCGGTGAGCAGCTGCTGACTACAGGGTCTTGCTGACCAGGAAGAGATGCCCTGAAGTGTCAGCCCCGACTGAGCACTGTAAGAATATGGAGGAGACGAGCTGCTTGCCCCTGGCGAGCTTCCAGTCTGGTTAGAGAGAGTGGACACCCTGCAGACCACAGGGGAGTGGCAGACAGGAAGGGACAGGCCTTGGATGGTGAGGCTGTTAGATGCAGGAGGACCCTGGGGCTACAGTGCACACGTCTCAGTGTGGCCGGAGACCAAAGACGGGATCCTCCTGAGTGAGCTGAGGCGGGATCCTCCTGAGTGAGCTGAGGCAGGCGCCTCTGCAGGCTCAGGGGAGGATGGTCTCCTGGGCCGGCGCGCTAGCTGGGGTGGCCTTCCCTGAGGAAAGCCTGCGTGAGTCTGAGCGCCCACCTGCTGAGGGCAGTGGCTAGCCAGCTGCCAGGGTGCTGGGTTTCCTCAAGGGTCAAGGAGCCAGGAATTAGACCCACCAGAGCCAGGGCCTGGCCCCAGCCTGTGGCTAGGAGGTGGGATGTGCCCCTGAGTGGCCCTGGCTCTTACAGTCACCCAGAGTCCAGACCTCTGAGGAACTCTAGGACCCAGCAAAGGGTCTGGTTTAGAACAGAATAGGTTGCCTTGCTCAGACAGAAACGCAGCTAAAAAGTCCCCTTTGCTCCCTGGGGCTGAGATAAGGCCTGGCAGGCCAGAGTCCCCTGGAGCTGGAGCAGGTTTGCACACAAGCCTGTGTAGCTGAGCTGCCCCTGCACTGAGGCCAAGTGACAAGCTTCTCTGTACCTAGCCCCTGGGGCCTCACCCCTGAAACTGCAGGTGGCCTCCGGGGCATAGGTGGAGCATCACTTTCCTTGAGGACCAAGCCACACCCCACCCGCGCGGGGCTCTGGGGTATCAGTGGGGGGGTGTTGGGGGGAGGGGCAGGGGAGCTGCAGGCTGGGGCAGCAGTGCAGCTTTTGCTGCCTTCCCTCAATGTCCCCAAGTATTTCCTTAGCACCAGTGTTAGTGCCCCACCCCTTGCCAGTTCTCCCAAACTTCCTTGCCAGGCCTCAGTTTTCTCCTCTGCAAGGAGCCTGATATTGTGGAACCACCCTGGGTTCTGGACACAGACAGGTGTGGGCTGGAGTCCAGGCTCTGCGCCGATTAGCCGAGTCGAGCTGGGCAAGCCCCACTCACCTGTGAGCGCTGCTTTCCTGGTCTGTGAACAGGGGGCCGTGGTGGGGCCAGCGCGAGGGGCTGTGAGGTGCTTGGCGCGGCGCCCGGCACAGGGTGAGCACTGAGGTCCGTGTTGTCACTATCCAGCCAGACTTCAAGGTCTTTTCCAGTTCTGCTCATTTCTGAGCGGAAAGGTTAGTGCTGAGTTCCAATGAATCTCACATATCCTCGACGTGGAGGGTTGATCATGTCCAGGTTAAGAAACAGCACCGCATCTGACGAAGACAAAAGCTTCCGTGCGGTCATCACGTTAGCCCTGGGTACTCCCATGGGACTGCCTGCAGGGATCCCGGACCCCTCCACTGCAGAGCGGAGTGTTCCATCTGTACGAACGGTGTGAAAGAAGACCAGTGGTCCCAGAGGATGACAACCCGGGCGTGACCCAGCCCTGCCAGCCGGGAGGCAGCACTGCCAGAGCAAAGGGCTCGGCCTCCAACGAGAGTCAGGGCTCTTCCCAGATTTCAGTCCCGTCTGTGGCAGGCCCCACAGGAGGCTTCCGAGGGAGAGCTGAGAAAGCTGTTATCGTTGGAGTTAGGACGGTGACACCACCCTGCTGCACGGTGCACTGAGAGCTGTTTCAGCTGATGTACCAAGAAGGGATGGTTTGCATATTAGCCTCACTGCCAAGTGAGCTGAAAGAATAAACCAGCCCAATTAAAGTGACACCTTTCGTGGAAGGCAAGGAAGCCCCTGTGACTAACCAGAAATGCCCTGGAACATCTGTGAACTCGGCCCAACGTGGGAGGTCCGGCTGGGGGCACCGAGCCCCGCTGTGCCAGTTCACCCCATTGGAAAGTGGTCCTTGGTGACAGTGATGTCATCACAACCCCAACAAAGCATCTTTCAGTGACCTCCCAGCTCCCTCAACCAAGAGCTTCCACCATGAGTGCTTAGCCTGAAACTCTTTGGAATGAACCACAAAAGCTTTGGCAGGTTCTTCGAATGGTCTTAAATTATTAGGTTTAAATTTGGTTCGGATCATCCTGATATTGCTCCATTTCAGTCATTGTTTGGCTTATGAATTAATAGTGTCAGTGGCCATCACCTTTAGGTGAGCAGTCAGACTTTATTTTGTTCCTCTTCCAAGAAAGGGCTGCGGTCCCCCGGGGGATATGGTGGAGCAGCTCTCCATCCCGGAAGCTCTGGCTCTATCCCACAATACTCCACCGGGCCTGGTCCCTACGACCCAGCTCCCTCGTGATGAGGGGTAGGGGAAGTGCAGAGTTTTGAGGTCCCTCCCTGGATATTCCAAGGAGTTGTTCCAAATCATTTAGGACTCCTGTGATCAGAAGAGGTGGAGGAAATCAGGACTTCATCTTGGTTCTGGAGATTGGAAGCTGATGGACATAATTTCTCTCACGTTTTGGTGACTTACAAGTGATGAACTTTGCTTATTAGAACTTGAGAGATTTCCACGGCTGCCTGGGACTTTACCATACCCACCGCCTACTCTCCATCAGGGATTAGGTTGAGGACAGGAGAAGGGAGAAGCCAGAGCAGGCCTGCTATTTTTTCTGGGTTGCGTTCCCTGCCATCACTCCTCAGCCCACTCTGCCTTGCTTCCTGCCACTGCCTGCCATCACTAACTGGAGAAGCCACCCGCTAGAAAACCCCAGATGGGAGCCACAGGAGGCTGGCCACCTCGCTCTGAATCTTTTTAGTAAGGGCCGAGCGCTGGAGGAGCTGGAAAAGGCCATCTTGTCCATCCCTCTGCCTGTAGGTGAGGCTCTCTTGAAAACTCCAAGTGGGCCTTCTGCTGGGCAGGGCTTGAGCTGGGGCCTGTGCAGCCATCCACAGATACACACCCAGCAGGAGTCCTCCTGCCACTCACACGTCTCCAAGATCAGGGAACAGTACTTCCTGAGCTTGGAAGAGAACAAACGTGTCGGGCTGACCTCTACCTATTTTGCAGTTTTCTCATCATTTTCTCACTCAGCCTTCCTTTCCCGAGGGCTGGGCCCAGGGAGCGAGGCTCACTCACTTGGTTTCTGGGACTGAGAATGTGGAAGATGTCGATAGTGCTCTCGTTCCCGAGCACTGCTGTTACGGCCGTGACGCCACCCCCTAGACAATACTGGTGGTGCCAGCCTGCGTCCCTTGGCCAGCCTGCCTTACTGCTGGGTCCTGTGTGTGCCCCAAGGCCAGACACTATCGAGGAAGACGGGAGAAGCCCATGTCCAGACTTTCCACCCTCAGACATTCTGTGACTTGGCCATCTGAAGGGGGCATTGTCATGTCAGTGGTTCCTAAACTGTGGTCTTCAGAAACACTGTTTTGATCAACTATACCCCTTCATAGAGATTGTGTGCATTATTAGCCCGGCCAGAATCCCGAAAAGGAAAGAAATCTGCATCATGTGAGGTCAGCCAAAGTTTTCCTCACGCATTGTGCACGGACCTGCTTCACACTGCACTGCAGGGCGAGCGTTCAGCGCCAATAGTTATTGTTGGCTGTCAAAATATAAAATACTCTTGAACTGGCAGGTGACTAGCCAAGCCCGTGTCCCCGGTGTCCTCCAGCCACCCAAGCCCCTCTCCCTCAGATCTGCCCCTAATCCAGGATCTACCTACACTGTCCAATATGGTAACCACTAGCCACACATGGCTGTTTAAATTTCAATTAAATAAAATTAAAAACTCAGTTCCTCCTTGCACTGGCCACATCCCACGTGCTCAGCTGGCACGTGTGGCTAGAGCATGGCTGCCGTACTGGACAGTGCAGAGAACATCTCTACCGCTGTAGACTGGGTGGCAGGCAACGCCCGGCACAGCAGCTGTCGGGGCCTTTCTTGGCTGGTGTCTGTCCTGAGTGTCTGACTGTGTCGTTGGAGTAGCACCTGCAGGTTCCCCAGGACACAGTCTACGGCACACTCCCCAGACCCCAGAATCAACTCACAGCCATGGCTGCAAAGTCAGGGGCAAATGGCCATGTTTACACAAGTGTGTCCCTGGGACGTGACTGTGCCCGCCCCGCCATCCTTCCATGAACACAGATGAAAGGATTTTACAGATGTGTGTCCCTGCTCACCCCACAGCCAGCCTCAGGCAGGACGCTGATAGTGAGTCCACCAGAATGTTCCCGTAAAAAGTACGTCTACAGTTTCTCTCTAAATAAAAGGCCACACCACTTGTAAACAATTAACTTTTTATAAAAAGACAAATGTACATATTTACACACATGTCCATATGTGGTCACGCATGACTTAGTGGTTAGATGGCGTTTCCAATTTTTAAAGTCACACCAAGGCGCTCACCCAGCCCTCCCTGGGCCTGCTGAGGGCTGCCGGGGCATGAGGGGTGGTGGGCGCCGGGCAAGGCACTGTATAAATAAACGCAAAGCCCAAGAGCTCGGGGGGAATGTTAGTGTACACCTCTGATCAGAAATGTGGCGAAGTCCACGAGAAAAAGTGCCGTGTTTTTCCCATGCCCCTCGGCAGAGCAGGGCAGGGCGGAGCTCCTCTGAGGCCGAGGCAGCGGCCCTGCAGGACTCCATCTTCCTTCACATCTCACTGGCTCTAGAGCAGTCCCAGGGCTCAGCTGGGAAGGGGAAGTGGTTCTTTGGGAACGGGATTCACTTAGTGCAACTCTTAGTGCAGGGCCAGCCCTGGGATTGGTGCCACGCTCTTCTGAGGTCGCTGGTCGGCTCCCCTCCAGCCAGCCAGCGACAGTGACACCCTCTCCAGGCAGCTGGGCTCGCAGGGAAAGCTAGAGGCTGACTCCTGTCCGAGTCCCCCACCTGACACACCAGTCTCAGAGCCCCATCTTCCCAGGACACAGGGCCAGCTTTACCCACGAGACGAGCCCAGACCTGGCCTGCCAGAGGCCCCGAGAGGCCGCCGACCCAAAGGGAGGCCCACCCTACTTGACAGTGAGGTCACACCGGGCTAAGTCAAGGCGCCCACAGGAGTCCAGCTTCTCTGCACCGCAGCCACCGTGGCGCCCCCCTGCTTGCCTGGGGGAGTAGGAGGGGCCGGGGCGCAGCTACGGCACACAGGGAATGGCCTGGATGGAGGACATCCTGACTGGGGGCAGCACGCTGTCCAGCCAGTTGGAGTCCATGTTCTTCAGATCCGTGAAGACGCGGTGTAGGCTCAGCCCGATGTCCCCTAGAAGATGTGAACAAGGTTGTGTGAGGATAGGGGATGGAGGCATGAGGTGCGCCCCCCACCCCACACAGCCCTTCCCCTAAAGGCCACGGACGCAGCCTCTGCTCCCCACACCACGGCAGCAAGCACCCGCTCATCCTCGGGCAAACCTCCGGGCGTGGGAGCAGTGGCCAAGTCACTAGCTGTCTGCACCCCACGTGAGTTCAGGAAGGATGCTGTACCTCATGGCTCCCTGGCCCTGCTCCCAAGCCCTCCCCACCCCCACATGGTTCTTCCTTCTCTAAGAAGCCCCAAGGGTCCAGGGGCTTCTTACCCCCAGGACTGTCAACTTCTGGCTCCTCTTTGCAGCTGAAGTCTCCATATAGGGAAGTGGGCTGGGCCCCAGGTTCGTTGAGCAGGTACCCCTTCCCATCCACGCTGGTTGGCTGCCACTCCGACTGCTCCAAAAGCTGGGGACAGAGGAGCAGAAAGCCGTCAGCTCCCTTCTGGCGCAGACTCAGCTGTGGCCCTGCCCCAGCGAGCCAGCTCTTCCAGCGGGGGTCGCGCCTTGGCCGTGTTCGCGCCCTCAGGTGGAGGCAGAGGTGCCCCGCAGTCGGACGGGGGCCTGAGAGGCAGGGGCAGAAGTGCGCGCTGGCCTGGTCCTCCATCCGTTCCCCGCTCCTCCCGTCCACCCTCTGGCTCGCACATCTCCAGGACTTCCCTCTCAGTCATGTAAGGACACACCAGCTGGAAGTGTGGCTTAAAGCAAAGGTTGGCATAACAAGTCACGAAAAGATGACTGAAAAGCCAGAGATAAGGAACTAAGCCCATCTCTCAGCTTTCTGGGCGATGGAGCAGAGCCAGGGCACGACTACAGCAAAAGCTTTTTTATATTCAGTTTGAAAACCAAACGAAACCTGAAGGACACTTTGCCAGCTTTCTGTTCTTTACAAGCCGTCAGATCCAAGGGCTGATTACTGAAACCTGGCGTGCATTTCCCGCACTAGCAGGGCTGGGGCATGTTGGGGCAAAGGACACGGGCCGGGGCCGGCGAGGGTGGGGGCTGGCTCGAGGACAGCCTCCTGGAGACCAGGCCTCCAACCTGCCCTCACTGCCCATGTGTCTGTCCCAGCAGCCAACCACGTGGATGTGGCACTTGTGGGACAACACAAGCAGCCGGGTGACAACAGTAGCTGCCGACCCTCCGGTTTGGAAGCTCACTGGTTGGTTCTCTCTTTGCTCACTAAGAAACTCTACCTCAAGAGAGTGCCCAGGCAGGGAGGGCCTTTACCTTCATGATGTCCTCAGTTAACTTCCCTTCCTCATCCTCATCTGTGGCAGCTGTGGATGGGAGAAGCGGAGACGTTGGCCGGCAGCCAGCTGCACTCACCCTGCAGTTCCAGCCCACTGGCTCCTCTGCCCCTTCTCTCTCCCGCTCTCACACACCCTCCCTGCGGACCTGCCCGCCATGGAGATTCCACAATAGGACACTGGCCTGGTGACTCAGCCTCTGCAACTCTGAAGCCAAGCCTCTTCCCACCCCTCACTTCCTTCCTCCCCCTCAGACGCTGGCTGCAGAGAAGCAGGAGAACCAGCGACCTGAGAGCAAAGTGCAGCGCCTGGACCCCTGCCCCTCCTTACTAGCCCACCACAGCCCTGTGGCCCAGCCTGAGCGGCCTCCCTGGCGTCCAGGCAGCGGCCTCAGCCCCGTGGGGCGGGGGTGGGCAAGCTCGATGCCAGCGGGAGTTCTGAGCGTCTTCTCCCTCAGGACGCCCTTCCCAGGACCCAAACAGTCAAGCAGGCAGGCCAGGCCCAGCAGCACCCACCTTCCGAGGCAGAGGGCATGGGTGACACCTGGAAGCTGTACAGCTCGCTGGTGCTATCCGGCACAACTTCCAGTGGGATCTGCCAGTCGGGGAGAGTGCTACTGACGACACACGGTGACAGCGCTGGGGAACAGCAAACGCCATGGGTCAAAACTGTGTGCTTTCTTACTTTGCAAGACACCCAGCACGCCCACCCGCAGCCTCCTCTAACAGGCCACCATCCGCCAGCACCACGCTTTCTAGATCCAAGAGAAAGAGCCATCCGACTGACCTGCGGGTCCCCTGCCAGACCCAGCCCGTCTCACCTGGAGCCAGGTCCACCTCCAAGTCCTGCCCCACATAGCCCTGAGCTGTGTAGCTGCTGTGGTCATCAGGCAGAGTGGAGCTGCTGAGTCCGTCGGAGAAGGTATCCGGGCTGGAATCCCCATATGACTGTGGAGGGAGAGAGAAGCTTAGGCCCAGGCCCGTCGCGGCACCTCTGCCACTGCTCACCCTGACCCACAGGTGACAAAAGGCCAGGCTGCTTAGGACCACACTCACCTTCCTCTTGGCCTTGCTCTTAGCATCTCGGCTGGACTTGGACTTTCGCTCTGTGGGGCAGACAGGCCGTCAGCCTTGGTACAGGCACACCAGCCCCAGGTGACCTTCTTCCACCCTCCCTCCGAGGACTTTCCGAGGACCCAGAGCCCTTGGATACCTTTTCTCTGGTTCTTGGTGAGAGGCGGGAGCATCCGGTACACCCGCACAGCAGAGCTGCCCTTGTTCTTGCTCTGGTCCTTCACCTCCTCAATGTCCGGCAGGGAGTTCATGGCACAGCGAAAGTTGGCCTTCCACGTCTTGGGATCCGGCTCCTTTTCCCCTGCTTTGTATCGGCCTAGAGGGCAGGAGAGCAAAGAGGATCATCAGGGCCATGGGCAGGGATCCTCAGCTGCCCTGGCCTAGGAGGAGCAAGGCAAGAGTAGCCCTGAGCTCTCACGCTGCCAGAGACCCACACTGGTCAAACCAGCAGGTGTTCCTGAGGGATGCTCTGCAGGCCTTACGCCCTGGGCTTCTCCAATGCCAGGCTCGGCTCCAACACATCCAGCAGGTGCCAGTTAAGGGCCCAGCCAGCACTGAAGGGCCCATATCTGCAGAAGTGTGTTCTCTGCGTCCCAGACCATGCCTAGTCTTCCTGCTTGGAACATCAGCGGCCAGAGTAGGGACTGGAGCTTATCTGGTATTTCCAAACACAGGAGTGGGCACAGAGTGGGCAGCAAAGAACAGTTACTACTAATAGGTGGGCTGACTGTTCTGAGATGGGCCAAGGGACCCATCCCTCAAGGATAAAAGGAGGCCACCAACCAGATGGGCCTTGAGACAAGGACCTTAGTCAACACCAAGGAAAAGGAAGACCTGGGTCTCTTTCAGTGCCCTGGCTTACAGCTGCTCTTGCCAGGGAGAACTTTAGCCAAAAAAGCTCCCCGAAGCCACACTTTATAAGATTTTGGCTTTACAAATTCCTTCGAGAATTTGCAGAAAAAATGGACCCTCTCCTCTAGAAACAGAGGTCTGCCCCCGACCCCCTTCCCAATAATTCTGCACACTGTCTCAGGGAGCTCAGGGACCCCAGTGAAGAGCCAGTGTTAACATTAGTGCCTCCCCTTGTCTCTTCCCCAGCCCTCCTGGGCCAGAGTCCCAGGCACACACCTGTGTGAATGGCCCAGCTCCGGAACAGACAGGCATCCTTGTTGATGTCCCAGCCATGCTTGGCAGCATGCTTCCAAGGGATCTGGAAGATCATCTCTTCCTGAACAACGACACACATACACACAAGGCATGTCAGCTCAGAGACCACAGGTTTTGGGGCTGAGTCTGCCCAGCCCCCTGAGTCTGGGAAGAGGCTGACTTCCCCTTTTCACCCTGACATCTGGCTTGAACTGACCCATCCTAAGACTGGCTTAAACAGGCCATTCTGTATCTCTCAGCAGGAGTTTCAGGTGCTAATGAGCTGTGGCACCATCGGCTCAGAAAAGACCTCCCTCTGCCTATTCCAAATGTGCTGGGACTCACACAGAGTGTCCTCTCCAGCAGCCCTGGTTCTGAAGCTCCAGGATGCTTCTCCCTAGCTTGCAAGCACCAACATGGAAGAAAGAACTTCTTCCTTTAGCAGGGATTGGTCTGGGACCACTGGCTCCTACACAGGGCGTCCTGCTCACACCACGGAGGTAGCCCTGGGCCAGACTTGGATGCTGACCACCTGTGTGACCCTGGCACTGTCACTGTACCTCTTTGCCCCTCACAGTTTTCTCTTCTCTGAAATGAAAAACCGTACCTAAAAGAATCTTCTTTGGGGATAAAAATCAAAGCATGTGTGCTGACACAGTCATAAATATAAAGAGTAAGGTCTTACTGTTATTAACTGGTAGTTTACAGTATGGGCTCCTGAGCCCGTTCAAATCTTGGCTTTATCACTTTCCATGTGATCTTATTACCTACCTCTCACTGCCTCAGTTTCCTTATCTGAAAATGACCTTAATAGAACCGATCTTACAAGACTGTTGTGAGGATTAAATAAAACAACATAAGGAACATGCCAGCATGGGACCAGGTACCTAGTGAGTATTCAGTGAGCGTTAGCTATTATTATGAAGACTGTCATTGTACTAACTCCACAGGCTATGCTTCTTGGGCCAGAGCAACCGGCACAAGACTAATTCTTCCATCCTCTGCTAAGCCAGCCACCTTCCTGCCCAGCAGGGCCTGCTTCCCTGTCTCCTGTGTGTCACAAGGGAGCCCTGCAGGATGCTGTGTGTGTTGGCAGGGGTCTCCCTAGGACACACAACCGCCTGCCCCCTGTCACTTCTGTTTTTGAGCTGCATCTGAAGCTTTGGTTCCCCAGAAGTAAATGGGAAAAACTCAAAGAGTTACACTCACTTTATTAATCCAGATCAACCCTGGGATTTGGTTGGAATTAATCTGCATCTCTAGCCAGGGTCTCATGCGCATCCGAGTGATGGGCATGTTGGCTGTAAAGAGAAGACAGAAAGCTCCAGTTTGGAATCTGTTGAACAGTCCTTGGGCACTGCCCTGCCCCACCCCGAGGCCACTTAATTACCCTCCTCTGCCCTCAGCCAGGTACTAGGGACTCAATCGTGGGGGAGGGGCCTGCAGTTGACTAGAACTGCTCTCCGAGAGTCTTTTGCTCCTCTTGGGCAAAAAGCGCTCCTGCCCCTTCCCTCATCCCCTCCCAGCCAGCCCGAGGCATGCAAGTGATGGCTGCAGGATTTATGTGCAGGAAAAGAGACAACATACACAGGTATCTCAATACCAGAACTTTTCTCTCAAAATTCAAATCATTTGGGAAAGGAAGAGCTTCTTTTGCTTGACGCCAATGAGAAATTTCCCTGACTTGAGTTGTCGCCGCCAGCTGTGCACCTTCCCCAACGGACACCCCCTCCCGCGCCCCCCCCCAATCCATCCTCCGCCTCCCTGACGGCCGCAGTGCCCGCGACGCTGGCCCATCCGGCCTGGTTTCCCCCCCCCGGAAAAAGCAGCCAAGGAAAAACCGGGGCCCCCCCCCCCGCAAACCCCCCGAAGGCCGGAACCCCCCAACCAACCCGGCCGTGAGCCAGCCCTTGCCACCAACACAGGGAGCCCCAAACCGGGGCCTGGCGCGGAGCTGCGACCGCGAAAGCCGGGGGCACTGGGCGCCCACGCGTGGGCGGACGCGCGAGTCCGCGGCGCGGCGCGAGGGTGCGCGCGACAAACGGACCAGGCCATCGCAGGCCCCCGGTGGTGTCGCGCACACGGATCTGCGACAGCGGCCGGCGCCGGCACCCCTGGCCGTGGGCGGTCCACGCCGCGGCCCGCCCTCCCCGCGCCGCTCCTCCGCGCCCTCCCGAGCCCGCGACCGCCCGGCCGGGGCTCTCGGCGCCCACTTCCTGGTGCCCCGCGCGCCTTTGTTCGACGCCGCGGGCGCCCGGTGCCAGGGCGCGCTCACCTCTGCGGCGCGGCCGCCGTGCGGCGCGCGATCCCGGCGGGAGCGGAGAGCGCGGGGGCGCCCGGGTCTCGGGCCGGCGCTGGCGGGCTCGGCTCTGGGCTCCGCGCGGCCGCGGCGCACGTCCGCCTGCTCCGAGGGCTGGCGCGCTCTGCCGGGCCGCGGCGCGGGGAGAAGTCTAAACACTTAGCGGGATTCCCCCGGCCGGCCCGGG